AGGTAAGGGTTGTCCAAAATCATTGAAGCAATTGGCTGAGCCTTGCCACGGCGACTAGCAGCTGGGCCAGTCGAGATCTTTGTTGTTTTTCTCTGTAATTTAACAGAAGAGAAGCTATCGGGATAATGATGGCCTTGGTTCCTCACCATAAAAGATGTTACAGATAAGAGGACGAGAAAGGCACGAATTGCAGAATAATGAGCAGAGCTATTTTTATTGATAGAATTGAAATCAATTAGATTTCTTAGTTGTTTTGATTATCGGGAGAGATTAGGAAACAAGCTAATGACTGTGAAATTGTCATAAGGATAATAGGTTACAGTTTTCTCTTTGAATTGTATTATTACACAGAAGGGTAATATCTTCTTGTGTTTGTTAGGTTACATCGCCGGTCCATCATGCAGAGACCCAATGGAAGTATGGATTAATGTCGTGAATACATTAGCTCCTTCAGCCCGAAAAGCACGGAGAACTTCAGGGCTCGAAACTTAAATTTCTGAAATGAAATGAATCTTAGTTTAATCTGTTTCAGCGGTAAGACTCTTAATTCCTTGCATTTTGCAAATCGTTCCTTTACTATCGTATCACTTAGTTTCTGCTAGTTTCATTCTTACGTGATTGTAATGAAAGTTACAGTTTTTGGGTGAGTAGGATTGCTCTTGTCCGATTATGGATTATCAAGCCAATTGCTTGAGGATTGACATGGCGCTTAAAGTCTCCATAACTTCCTAGTGCTAAAACCACCTGCGATTGTCGCTTCTCTGAGGTAACAGCAGTTACATACAGCTCCCTTTTTTGTGAAGTCACTGTAGATTTTAACTTGGTGAAATTTTATCTCAATTTTGTATGTAAAAAGTTCGTGTCCTTGTATTTATTGAGAGCTCAAATGGGATACACCATGTACTCACCTGCATTATATCTCCAATCAGGTGGTCAAGCCTGAAAGCTAATCCCTGAGAACCCGACAACTCGACTATCCCAGATACTTAGGCTGTTACTGTTCATAAGAGAGATACAATCTCGACAGGACATGTAAAAGTCGATAGGACATGTAAAAGGAGGGTCAACTAAATTAAAAAGGCAATACCGATATCTTGATATTGGCAATACAGGAAACTATGCATGAGTTGATGAATGAAGCAGATGACAAACAGCACAATTCGGGAATTATCTGGTCTACTGTAGTAGTGTAGTCTTGTCTGTCTTTTGACCTCTTAAGGTGACTGCCATTTGAGATTCTCTCAAGTATAAGACTAGACCTAGCTTATAAGATGGGTAGTGAACCAAAATGACCAAAAGATTAGGGGCCGTTCTCTTCGTGTTTCAGTTTTGTGTTTTGAGTTTTGAATTCATTTTGTGTTTTCTATTTTGAGTGTCTGTTTTGAAATTGTTGAAAACTCGTTCTCTTTGTTATTCTGAAAA